ATCTATAATCAGATTGGAACCTCCTTTGTGTGTGGTTTCCAATTGAATAATAAGAGTTTATACTATACTTATTTGACATACTATTAGTGGAACCTCTAACCTTCACATTTGTTATTATCATTGTTTAATCCTTACATTAATATTCTATCCTAAAGTTCTCATCTTCTTCTCCTTCTTTATTATTATTATCATTATTATTATTACTACTACTACTATTACTACTATTATTAGTCTACTATTATTAGTACTATTATTATTATTATTATTATTATTATTATTATTATTGCTACTAATATTATTGTTGTTGTTTTTATTATTGTTATTTATAATTAATCTTTTCATCATGTCAATCAACCTAGAGTAACCTACAAATATTAAAAAAAAAATATTTAAAGTTTTAATATTTCAAATAAAAATTTAAGAAAAAATCTATGAATAAGACTATATATATATATATATATATATATATATAATAAAGTTTAAAAAATATTTTAAAAAGTTTTTTATCTCACATTGAAAATATATTTTTTTCTTGTGAATATAGAATATATATACTAAAAGACTTCAAATTCTACATTGAAAAAAAAAACTTATTTCTTGTGAATATAAAATATATATATTAAAGAGTTTTAAATCTTATATTGAAAATATATCCTGTTATCTTTTTAAGTTGAAGTATTTAAACTAAAAAGTTTGTTATTCTACATTAAAAAAATATAATTTTTTTCTTGTGAACATAGAGTATATATATGAAAGGGCTTTAAATTTCACATTAAGAAAATAATTTTTTTTGAAACATAAAGTATATATATTATAGAGTTTTAAATCCTGAAAAGTATTTAAACAAAAACGTTTTTTATTCCACATTAAAAAACATAATTTTTTTTCTTATGAACATAATATATATATATATATATATATATATATTAAAATATTTTCAAATCTCAAATTGAAAAAATAACTCTTTTTTAATATAAAATATATATACTAAAGAGTTTTGAATTCCATATTAAAAAAATAAAAAAATATAATATTTATATAATGAACTTTAAAAAATATTAATAATCAAATAAAAAAAAGAGAGATACAAGAGAAAAACTACATTTCAGAAAAAAAACACTAGTTCTCATTAGGGTTTACTTGGACCATGGTTTGACCCTCCGAGTCGACCAGGTTTTACTGAGTTATTATACCATCTAATTTATTAACAAACTCAAACTTGTCTAGCTATTGGATCTACTCGTCGAGCTGGGCTAAATTTAATAATAGTGCTAATAATATTAAAAAATTATTAATTTAAAAAAATTAATTTTTTTTTAAAATATTTTTAAAATATAAAAATAAACATCAACTCACACGGACAAAAATCCAAATCTCGTGCATACCAATTTGTTGGCGGGGGTAAAAAGGTGAATTTGTCCCTCGAAGGGGATAAAAAGGTGGGAACTTCACGAATTAAAAATAAAGCCCAAAAAAAAGATCAAATAATTAATTTGAAAAAAATAATTATAATTTTAATTTTAATTATTAAATATTTTAATATTCAACAAGAAAATTCTATAAATCACGTTATTTAAAGATATTTTACTCTAATAGAGCTAATAAAATATAAATATTTAGATTAGATTACATACATCTAAATTAATCTTACAAACTATAAAATTAATAACTATATAATAATTTTTCCTTTTCTTATTCTTATTTATGAATGATCAATATGGTTTTGAATAGACTTCCTAGTTCTAATAAGTTAAGGGTTCTATTTTTATCTAAACTATATTTTTTTTATTTTTTTAAATATTTTTTATTTTAATTATTTTTTTCTAATCAGTTCTAGATTAAAAATTATTTGTATAAATAGTTTGTATGTTATTTTTAGAAGATTTTCATGAATAATTTATTTTTCAAATTATTTTATAAAATATTCCTAGTTTAATTTTTTATTTTTATGTTCTGCTAAATACTATGTCATCAAGTCTCAACTTAACTTTAGACTTCATATGATATTTAGAGCTTGATTTTTTATATAAAAAAATATTTTTGAAAATATTTTTTATTTATTTATTTTTATGTTTGCTTTAATTTAATTGTTTTTTGTATTTTTTACTTATTGTAATGTGTTGATATTAAAAAAATATTTAAATATATATTTAAACAAAACATATTTTAAAAAGCAAATGTTACAATAATATTAAACCACACTTAGCTTAATCATGGCACTCTACTACAAGTCTATTTATCATTATAAAGAACAATAGCAATCTTTATTAGTGTTTGCTTACTATTTCAGTTGGCAAAAAAAAAAAATAGTCTTTTTCAACATGTTTTTTTGACAAAAAAATTATAATTATCAATTAAAAGGTTTATACATGCATTTAATGAAACAAGTTAAGAATCATATATCTCAATAAATGAAAAAAAAAAAAGTGCTAACACTTCTATTTGACTAACCTCCTTGTGGCTAAAATAAATTTTTTTTAATATTGAATGTGTAAGTATTATTAACATATTGTTTTTGACATCAATTAAAAATTTAATTGTGAATCAAAAATTTAATACTTGCATATAATAAAATAAAATAGAGATTATATGTATTAATAAAATCATGTAAGATTTCAAATTAATTTTTAATGTAGTAAAAACAATAGGACAATATGGCAATTTCTATAATGAAATACCATTTATTTTTAGTTTTGTATAATAATTTTTGAAAAACAATGTAAAAAGAAAAAGAAAATCACAAAAAAAAATTAAAAAATAATGAAGATAAGAGCAAAAAAGAAAATGTATAAATAGAACAAATATAGAGTGATTCATATTCCAACAAATTAATATTAAAAAATATTCAAATTGAAAAAATGGCATTCTAAACTTTAAAAATATCAATAAATAAATATGCACAGAGAGAATATATATATATTAAAAAATATTTTTTTTATTTGTACTGATATTATTTTTATTTAATTTTAATTGGTAAACAGTTCAATAGTTAAAGGGGTCAAAGACATGCACGTATTAATAAAAATAAATTTAATATATATATATATATATATATATCAATTCACATTTTAGTAATTTTTTTTTTATGCTGAACCTAATGACATATTTTTTTTACTAAGAACAATACATATAAAATTAATTATATTGATCATCATAAAACACAAGTTAGCTATATTTTGATAGAAAATATTCTTATAATCAAATTAAATATTTAAAAATAAATAAATAGTCGAAATTAGGTCACATGAAATTATAGACAACAAGACATCTGATGATATTTTATTTTTTTATTGAGAGTGATATGGATTGTTAACCCATGTAATTTCTTAGAATGACATGTTTGTTTATCTAAAATTATTAGCCTTTAAAAATTATCTATTTTAGTGTCAAATCAATACAATATAATGTTATAAATTGTATATATGATAAGATCCACATAACGATTAATTTAAACATGTACATAAGATGTAGCAAACATGTATATATGATTATTAAATTTAGAATCCATAAAATTAGTTAAAATACATGTAAACTAATTCGAATATTCACGTTAATAAAAAAAAAAACATTCTTAATGGCTTTCCTTTTTGTCTACTTCATATAAGTCAATAAATCCACACATAAAAAAAATAAAAATCACAAATAAGTCGTAGTTGATTTTTTTTCAATTTGTTAATTGTTTGCAAATTGTATGGTTTGTAATTCCCATATTTTATTATTATTATTATTATTATTATTATTATTATTATTATTATTTTCTTGATGTAAATAAATTGCAGTTCTAATTAAAATCTTAGGTTTTTTTTTAATCTCTCTAATCCATGTTTTATTTATACATATCTGTAAGTTATTGTTGTTCTTATAATATTAGAATTTATTTATTTATTTTTTAATTTATTAACATATAAAGCTATTCTTTTAAAATGATAATTTAAAAGTTACTGGGTGACACCACTGGAAAAATTTGCCACTAACCCGTTCAGATGCACATATTGAAGTAGTGTTCACTGAAGATAATTTCCTACAACTTTTATATTTTTAAGTGATTCCAATTCTGACATTATCAATGACGTTTTAGGCAGACAAGAGAAGATAATGATTGTTACCAAGTCAAGAGTTGGCTACCCACTCATCAAATTAATAGTCCCTAATTTTGGCCTATAAAAAAAGGCATTTGTCATGCATTTAGGCATCTTAGTTTCCATATCAATATCATGCTCTTGCTTTATTTCTTTATATTATTTATTTTTTTATTTTATTAATATCAAGTTTATGCCTTTCATTTTCTTTTCTTTGCTTAGTTAACTTTTATATTATTTATATTCTTATCTTGTTTATCTATGTTTTTTTCTTTTATTATGTTTAGCTAAATTTATTATGTAATGGTGAAAATGTTACACTAATGATGTAAGAATATGTATAGTGAAAACTTAACATAGATTTTAATTTTTGATATTAACATGTTTTGTATTTGTTATCTTGTTCAGTCTTTAATACTTTGCTTGTTAAATGACTAATCTAGATTTAAGTTGTATAACATTTGGTACAAAATGCTTGGCACTTTCATAGCCCATATTGTATGGTATAACTGACACCTGAGCTATGAAAAAAACTTGATTGATTTTTAACATAAGTTATAATCATGAATGTCTAACAACATTTACAAGTATTAGCATTAATCGAATAAAATAACTAATGTGATCATGTTAACAATTTGTAATCTAATTAGAACCTTCTTTATGTGTGATTTCTAATTGAATAATAAGAGTTTATACCATACTTGTTTGACATACTATTAGTGAATCTTCTAACCTTTACATTTGTTGTTATTATTGTTTAATCTTTACATTAATCTTTCATCTCAAAATTATAATCAACTTCTTTTTATTTATTTATTATTATTACTATTACTACTATTACTAATACTACCATTAATACTACTACTACTATTATTATTATTATTTTTGTTGTATTATTGTTATTTATAATTTATACAATTAATTTCTTTATAATTCGACCCCGGTCTTGCCAGATTATTTATTATTTTAACACTCCTGCACTTGAAAAAAGACATTAATCATTTAGTCGTGTCAATATTCATCCAATAATGATTTGATTTGACTTTGAATTTATATTGTATTTCTAGTTTTGGGGACAATAACTCGAAATAAATTATGACAACAATAACAATAATTTTTATTTTTGCGTATTGCATAAGGCCAGATCTCTTACAAATATAATTTTTTTTCAAAAATTATATATGGTGTGTTTTAGTATTTTTATATAGAATTCAAAGTGTGTGTGTATTAGCATTCATCTTGGATTTAATAACCAGTCTATTAAATTTGTGAGAACTTGATTAATATTTTAATAACCCCCTAAAATTTTAATTCATGGAATTAATGATCAATATTCTTGTATAAATATTGAACCTACAAGTAGAGTGATATTTAAATATCAGGAGGTGACTATAAAATTCTTAAAATTATTTTAAATATTCATTAATTTTAATTAAAAGTATTTGTTTATCGCAATATAAGAATTACAGAAAACCTTTCTATAAGAATTTATTTAGGCATATGAATCCATAATAAATTTAAAATATTAGATTTATTCACACGAATAAATCTCCATTCTAAAATATAAATAGACTATTAGTTAGAAAATCATTAAAATTTTTAAATTATATTTAGATTATTTAATATAACTAATTGAAGGTAGGATGTATTAGAAGTATTAATTTTTTTTAAGCACAGTTAGTTTTTGAAATTTATGATAAAATCAATATATTGATACCTGAATTGAATTTCGATGATGACTTATTAACCAAGTAATATATCTAGTCACGTAAGAATTCTAATCCCCACAGCGATGGGCATGCTAATTTATAGAATTGGGATAAAAAAGAATTCTAGATGATGACTTATTAACCAAGTAATATGCATTATTAATTTTTAAAAGGAAAATCAGACGTAAAAAGAAAAATAAAAGTTAGGAGAACTGGGATAAAAAAGAAAAGACAAAAGAGAAAGGAAACTAAAGGATCTAAACAGTGGACACAAACACGCGGCGAAGCGAACACTCGCAGCCCGGACACCACTGTGAATGACTCTTGCCGACAAACTTACACACAGCTGACACAGCCTCTCTCTCTCTTACGTGTAGTTACTGCCCGAAAGGCAGTGATATATACCATCTGTCTTCTTTCTTTGTTTCGCCTTATGTAACCATCTTTGTCTTCTTTCTTTGTTTCGGTTGAGGGTGCTGTAGTGTAACATTTCTTCTAGGAGCTATAATTAATAAATCTCAGTTTGCTTTGAGATTGAACTGATTTTAACTTTAAGATGCATAGCGTTTTTCGCTTCATTACTACTCCACTCTCATCTCCCTTCCTCCTCGCCACTCCTCTTTAATTAATTAAACTCCTTCCAACCCTGTCCTTAATTACCTAATAGCAGCTATCGCTGCTGCCCCCCCTCCCCAACAAAAATTAAGCAAATTAGAGAGTGAATTAAGTCGTTGGTTTGTCTTCCAGTTTAATTTGGAATTGGCCATCAATCTTTCTTTCCCTTTTCTTCTGCTCTTAATATGTTTCGGTTTTCATATTAATTTAGTTCTCTGGCTAGCTTGCATTTTGATAAGCTCTCTAGACCCCCCCCCCTCTCCTTCCCTTTTTTTTTTATTAATTTAGTTCTCTGGCTAGCTTGCATTTTGATAAGCTCTCTAGACCCCCCCCCCTCTCTCTCTATATATATGTATGTATGTATGTATGTGCGTGCAAGCAATGGAAACATAAATTTGGGGTTGCTTCCTTCTTTTGCCCGAGTATAATTATATATATATATAAAAAAAAATCAGCGAAGAAATCGCCAAAATAGTAAGCTTGAGGGGGCTCTCTCACCAGTCAATCAGTTTCTCTATCCCTTCGCATAAATGAAGTGGTCGATTGAGTTGCCCGCAGCCGGCTTCTCTCTCTGCCTAGCTAGCTAAGAAAATTGAATTCAGTGAAAAAGAGGATACCGCTTGCTCTTACCACTACTACTAAGTAGTATCATCGTCATCGTCATGATGGACCTGAGCGGTAAAAAACGCGCATCGCGGTCTGTGTTGGTGCCTTCGACAAGTCATCAGCGGCAGCACTCCAATCTGGAACGCTTTCTTCAATGTGTAACTCCAGCTGCTCCTCCTAAATTCCTTCCCGAGGTAATCTGCCCTTTGATTCCATTCTTCTTTTCTTTTTCTTTCTTGTTTAATTGAATCATCTCTTTCCTTGTTTCCTTTATAAACTAGTAGAAATTAACACAAGGGTTGGTAGGGTTATTCGATTGCAAATTCATAATCTAATGGTAAGTTAACATTAGGCCTAAATCTTCGTTTTTTGAATTTGTTAAATACACATGAAAACACGCACGCTCAAACAAACACATCTATAAATTTGATATAATTATTCCTTTTTTCCCCCCTCTCTTTTTGGCTTTTGTCTTTTGCTTGTGTCTTCATGAAGCAAAAACTAAAAAAAACAAAGTAAAAGAAGAAAAGCAATGCTGCTGTTAAATTTGATCTCAGTCGTCGCTTTGGGGAAAAACCGATGACCTTTTTTTTTTTTTTTTTTTATTCTTTCCTTTTCTTTCTTTCTTTCGGGAAAAACCTGGCAAAGTATTTTGACTAAAATAAGGGGTCGGCACCTAAATCAACTTGAAAAAATAAAAAAAATTATATTTAAAATTTTGATATTTTACATGAATTTTATTTGAAATATTATAATTTTTTTTAAAAAATATGAAGTATAATTATTTAATATTAAGAAATTAAAAAACAATTCATATAAATATAAATTATTAAAAAATATAAATATAGTATAATTATTGAAAAGTAATATAATTATTTTATATTGAAAAGTGAAGTGTAGTATAATTATTTTACATTAAAAAATAATCCGTAAGTATTATAAAAAAATGTTAAATGTAATATACTTATCTTATATGTTATATATAATTATTGCAAAACAAAAAAATTATAAAACAATTAATGCACGAGTAGATTATAAAAAAAATGATATTAAGTATTCTTAAATTATTTTTAAATTTTTTAAATTTATTAAAAAATAAAAAAATTCATCTAAAGCACACCGGTTACCCGTATTTTATTTGACCCGGTGAATTGCACAAGATCAGAATTTTATGATTTGAAACCCGGTCACTCTTCCAGGTAAACCTATTAATTTACTGCTATTATTTTACTTACTGCCTCTGACTCTGTGGTGTTGTGGGCCTAACTAGATTGATATTTTTTGCCGGGTTGTGCTGGGCATAGCCCGTTTTCATAAGGGTCTTATCCAGTTCTATACCGTACCTGACGGATGCCGCGAATATCCTGTTTCTCTATATTTTATAAAGATTTTTATATCGCAATGAACTGTCCCTTTCTTTAATTTTCTTTTCTTTACACACAGCCACATGAATGATTTGCCATGTGTTTCCCGTTGCAGAAACTTACTACTCCACCACAGACCAAACAGATAAATGTAGTATTTATTACTTTTTTTTTTAATTTTATCTTCAATTTTAGTCCTTTTCAATCTTGATGTCAGGCCTCATCGCCAGAGAGGAAGAAAATCTCTCTCTCGACCAAGGCCAAAATGTTACTCTACGTGCTATTATTGTAGAGCATATGGTCCCCGGTCCCCGGTCCCCTGCCATGGATAATGGATGGATCGGTAGTGGGATTAAGGAATCCTTACATTTCAGGCAGCCATGCATTCATTTCTCAATTTCAAACATGGTCCCAGAGCACATGTGTTCTTGTGGTGTTGTTTAACCCCAAGATCTTTGGTGAGTTAATCGATTCCATTCATGGACATGAATTAAAAGGGGACTAATAGCATGCTTCTCACTTAAGTTGCAGGTTTTTTTTTTACATTAAAGTCCCGTTATATCCATCTGGGAGAGTAATCTGGTCAATCAATTGTATGCAAGTATGCCAAAAGACCAAAAAAACGAGAAAAGAAGAAGAAGAAGAAGAGAGAACATTTTAATTTGAACTCTAAAAAATGTTGTCATAAGACATTACGGCCCATATGAGATTATCTTTCCTCGGAAGCAAGCCTTGAACATGCGCTTTTAACATTAGGTACCGTTGTCGTTTCTTGAACACTGTGCAGAGCTGCATTCGTGATCTAAATAGCTTATGGCAACCACCTGGTACCAAGGATATGATTGAATATTTCACTTTGGGAGATTTATGGGGTTGCTACGATGAATGGAGCGCATATGGTGCTGGCACCCAAGTAGTATTGAGCAGCGGCGACACCATTATGCAATATTATGTCCCTTACCTGTCAGCCATTCAGATTTACAGCAATAAGTCGGTGGTGGCTTCCAGGTTTTGTAACCTTTTTTCTATTCATCTTTTATCTACCAAGATTCAGCTGATAGCAGCTCCTTTGTCTGTGATGATTTGCGGCGGTTAGGTTGAGCTACCGTGCTTTTCTTCTTGTAGGGACTCAAGAGAGTATAATGATGTTGTCGAATTTGAAGGTGATTCTTGGAGCGATGACAGCATGAGTGATAAACTGTCGAGGTCGCTAAGCAACAATTCCAGCAAGACATGGGATACCATTTCTGAGGATTCAAGCTTTGACCATGAGGGTTCTTTGTCAATGAGGGATAAGCTTGGCTCTCTGTCCCTTCAGTACTTCGAGATATCTTCTCCTCACTGGAGGGTTCCACTTTTAGAAAAGGTTACATTTTCTTCCCGCTATTGATTTTCATTTATTGCTATGCTAGGTACATGCCTTTCTGATTTTTTATTCCTTCTCAGATAACTGAATTAGCCAGGAATAATCCGGGATTAATGACACTCAAGAATGTGGATCTTTCTCCGGCGAGTTGGATGGCTGTTGCTTGGTAAAATCGATTGGTTTCCTTAATGCATTTTATCCATGGTTATCTAGCATTTGTAGTCCAACTCCAACGTTCTTCCTTTCCATAACAAGGCTATAGTAATTGTATGGTCTTGATTGTTGATTAGGTACCCCATATATCACATTCCATCTCAGGGAAATGAGAAGGACCTGTCATCATGCTTCTTGACTTATCATACACTTTCATCATCTTTCCAAGGTATCCTACTATCTTGCACCTTTTATTTATTTCCAGATTTTTTTCTGGATTTTCGAATTTCAAAGAATAAAGCATCTTTATCCTAATTCTTCTGAGTCTCATTTTTTATCACAGTTATTCAAAATGACATGGAATTGACTGATATGAACTTTCCTGGGGTAGCACAGTTTCAACTTCTTGCACTCTCATTTTTGTGTTTTATAACATTCCATGCTTTACAATGTAGACCAAAAACAGTGCAATTTATAATGCCTTTCTGAATATTGATGTAAACAGGTATCATGAGATTAGGACTTGTAGGAATGAAAATCAGGACATGATTGGATTGTAAAATGTTCCTCATGCTTCAGTTCAAATAAGTAAAAGAAACCTGAGACACCTTTTTTTTTTTTCCCATAAGAAAGATATACCTATTCCTCAAGTGAAGGGAATTTTGAAGTGAGGTGAAAGTATTCTCCTGAGATTGTTATTAGAACCCAACTCCATTGAGAATCAGAAAAAATAGTCTTGTAGCACAGAGATAAAACTCAGGGGATATTGGAAAGCAATTTTATTTTTCATCATCCCCCTAACAACCAGATGGTGCTTGGAAACTGCTCAATCTTGTCCTACAATCCTTCACTTATGCTGCACTTGTGAAATTTGTTTGAACATGGCATTTTAACCTTGAAGTTGCAATTTATCCATGTCAAATTCAAAATGTTTTTCTCCCTCCGAGGATACATAAATATCGTGTTACCACTTATCAGAATACAAACTAATCATTCTTCTCTCCATTTTGGGCCAGCTGGCAAATCCTATAGCCTACCATGTTACGTCCAGCATTGACTTCACCAATTTCCTCCACAACTTACAACTTACTGATCTCTATTAGTGTAGTACCTGAAGAAGCATTCAGAATCCCCTAGAGAATTTAGGTCACGATAATTGATTGTTGGGCCTCAATCTAGCCATCTTTGCAGAGCTTGTTGGTACCAGGTCCCATGAATCCATACCATCTCGTATCTAGTGCATATTTGTAACTCATGTGACATATAATTAATGTTGCTTTGTTTAATTTTGTTGGATGGCTCTGGTTCTGGTTTTGCTCACTGTTCTTTGCTTCCATGCCTATCCAATGCCAAGGAGCTTTTGGATTTGATTTGTTCCATGGCCTTTCAGACCAATTTCTCTCATTGCTATCCATCTATTTTAGAGAGAGTTGTTGTCACCTAATGTTTAACAAGTTTCTCAACCTTTGTTGGCCTTTGCTTCTGCAGATTGCGTCAATGAGGCTGGAGAGGGAAATGTCTGTATATCCCTTCCTCCATTCGGCCTGGCCACATACAAAATGCAAGGGAATCTTTGGATAAATCCAGAGACATCTGATGATGAAAGAATGATTTATCTTGAAAGTGCTGCTGATTCCTGGTTGAAGCAGCTAAATGTCCACCATCATGATTATAGCTTTTTTACCAGCTGCCACTACACCATGTAAATTGGTTTGTTCTCTAACCTGTTTCCCTCCCACCTAGGTTTGTTTTTCTCCAGTTATCCAGCAACCACCATGAAAACAGTCCCTCGTTGGCAGTTCTGATATTAATGTATAACTTTATTATGCCCGCCTACTTTGTATAGGCATGCATGTAAAAGGTTTCGAAGTTAAATGTAGTTTGAATAAGCCATGAAGCGGTTCCCAAGTATACAATGGCTTGTTGATCCAGAAAGTTTTGTTAGAGGGGGAGTTTGTTTTGTGGACTGAGTTGGTTTCCTTGGCAAAGAGGAAGAAGAGACTTTAAAAAATGAGAGTTTGTGGATCGGCAGCTTAGTCTCAGGATGTCCATTTTCTTAATTTCTTATTATCTTGTAATCTGAGCTTTGTATCACAAGGATCTGTTGCTAGTTTCTAATGTGCAAAAGTGTTGTAAATGGATTTGTTCTTTCTTTCTGTTTTAGAATTTGCACCGGCTACTTGTGTGATAATCATGTGCGTGTATATCACACAAAATCTATAGTGAATGGATGGGGTGGTGAGATTGTCTGTGTGCCGGTCTATCTATATTCGAGAATCAAATGATAATGAAGTGATACATGAGGGCTTAGCCGTTCCTTTTTCAATCATATTGCACTCTAGCAGCAGGATTAAGCGTGGGTTTAGTATTGTGTTTCTTGCAGCAGGATTAAGTTCGGGTTTAGTATTGTGTTGTAGTATATGGTGGTATTTTTTTAATTGAAAATGTATTAAATTAATGTTTTTTTATAATTATTTTTAATGCCAGAACATCAAAGTCATAAAAAAAACATCTTAAGAAACGTAAATCAATTTAATATTTTTTTTCAAATGAAAAACAATTTAAACTCAAACTTAAAACTAATCTCTTACCTCTGAAAGTTGAATATATTTTTGGTCCAATGGAGTGTCCATTTGTTTTGAGTTCGTGAGAATTAAAACTGTGAAGCTTCCTTTCCTTTTTATTGGAAAGTTTCGGCTCTTTCACAAATAAGCAGAATTCAAAACCGAAATTCCTTATGTTGTCCCACCATTTTTTAAACCCTAATATTACTTGAAGAAGACACTTTTTTAGTTTTTTCAACGTGTTATATATGTTTTTGGTTTAATGTGCATATTAAAAATTACGTTGAGGTTTGAGATGAAATGGAGAAATGGGTAATGTATTTGGGGTCAATACTTCAATAATTGTAAGTAAATACTGATATAACTGGGATGATTTAATTTCCATATATTAATTGTTATTAATAATTAAAAAGGAAACGAAGGGAGGTAGTGGGTAATGATAGCAACAAGTAGTGTACTTGGTTCCCCTAAACCCCATCATCATCCCCTACGCCATACTGTACTGTACAGGACAGAGTAGACGCGAGTTGCTATTGAATTCATACGTGTATTCTATCCAACAACAAGAAGATGGGAGGCCCAAGCAAAAAGCAAAAGCAAAGAGAACAGTAACAAGAAGCTAGCTCTTCTCTTCTCTTCTTCTCTCGAGCAAACAGTAAACATACAAAACAAAGCAGCTAATAGCCTTACCATTTCTTATTATTGTTGTAATAACATGATTTTATTGCTTGCTTGATTTCTTTCCAGTAAATAACATCCTGCTTACATAAGCTAACTGCTCCCCATTTCCCTTGTTTTTGTTCTTTTTCACTCTAGTAAGTCGGTCAATCTCAGATAAACAATAACACCTCTCTACTCTGAGTTTCTTTATCTTTTTCTTATGTTGCTGACCAAATCATTCCATTGACTGGAAACAAAAGGGAAGGGAAGTCGGTGATCATGTGTTCAGTGGCAGTGATATTCGGTGGTGGCTTTCTTTCTGGCCTGCTCACTCTTGTTGCCTTACAAGCTCTGGGTGTTTACTTCTTTATTAAAAGATTGAATCGAAAGACTCATCTTCAACCACAACAACAAGCATCACATTCTTCTTCTCCTCATCAAGACCTCGATCCCCAACAGTCCCTTTATTATGCCTTTAACAAGAAGGTCTCTTTATTATCTTTCAATCTCTACTGACTAGCTTCTTACGTTTACTTCTTCGAATTCTTGTCAAAATTCTACTTTTTCTTTTTTATTTATATGTTGTGAAAGACTGATACTTTCTTCTTATATTAGGACTGATTTACTTTTGTGACTTAGGGAATTGTCTGGGTTCTTGAATCAGATAAGGTTCCCGGGAATTGGCCTGCGGAAAAAGTACCAAAAGATCAAAAGAGGAAAAGGGAGATCCTTGAGGTTACTCCCATTCGAAAACATGCTAACATCAAGGACAGGTCACTTATTTTGACAGATTCAGGTGGTTCACATAGAGCTATCCCTTTGACAGGTTGTGTGATAGAAGCCGTTTCTGCTACGAGCCTTCCCTCAAGAAAATGGTAAATATTGTCTTCATGAGACTCTTTGGTTAGTTACTATTACATTGTACAGGTTCACACATTCTAATTATTCAGTTGCCTTTTTAATGGTTTCTGGGGTTTGTTTTGCTATTGACAAGTAAAGGACCAAAGACGTCATGCCTCCTACTTCTCTGTGTGTAAATTCTGGCTTAGAATTTCTTGTTGGAAGAGGAACTTCAGCCTGACAAATCAGTATGATTATTTCTCATGCACAGCTCCTTTTAGTGGTCGCAACCATCAAGATTCACATAACTGCTTAAAATGTTGCCAAAGTAATGGTCAGTGCCATTAAAGTGACCACATATGTTCAGGATATCAACTTCTCTCTTGACTTCTCTCGTCATTTTTAAACAGTTTGACCAGGGCTGAAATACTCGCTTTTAAAAACCATACTGAAATTCCTTATTACTCAGCTCAGTGGAATCGAATTTTGCATTCATTTAGTGTTGGAAATATCCGTGTTACATAATGCAGTTACACATAGCTTAATAGGTTATGAAGTCTTTTTCACCCTTATTATAAGTAGAAACATGACTCATCTCTAATGCCATCACAGGGCCGCAAGATTTCCGATAAAAGTGGAAAGCAAAACTTCACCAATATATAATGCAAGTAAGACAGTTTTTATTTTTCTTGAGACGTCCTGGGAGAAGGAGTCATGGTGCAAAGCCCTGCGTCTTGCTTCAAGTGATGACCAAGAAAAACTCAACTGGTTCACCAATTTGAATGAAGATTTCCACCGTTATTTGACATCCTTAAATACAGGATACCCTTCATTTATGAAACCTTCAGTTGGGTTCTATGCTGAGCCAATAGATAGGGCTAGTAGGCTTGATGGTTCTGGATCGAAGGTTCTCCTGTTTTGGAAAAAGCTTGCCAGAAAGGCATCAAAGACTAGTGTAGAAAATAAGGTGACTTCCTTGTTAGGACGTGAAGAGAGAAAGATTAATGATAAATATCATCCATCCCAGGACCCAGCTTTTGCTGGTAGTGTGGGAAAGAATGCTCCAACATTAAAGGATCCTATCACCTCTGAAGAAGAAAATGTAGCATCACCTTCACCGGCAACCTTTTCTCGTGCATCAAGCCAAAGCCAGTTCTCCACCTTTTCTAATACAGACACTGATGAAAAGTTAAATATTGATGAGGGATCACTCTGCTGGAATTTGATTATTTCTCGGCTCTTTTTTGATGCCAAAAGCAATGCTAAGATGAAGAGTTTAGCGCAAGCATGGATTCAGGTCTATTATTTCCCAAATTATATCCAACAGAACTTATGCTTGTCCATTGATGCATGTTAGATTCTGCTATGTGTAGATGATGCTTTTGCTTGTAGTTTTATCATCAGCAGCGTGTAGCAATGTAGGGATTGGGCTATCAATTAATTTCCATTTTGATGTAAATGCACTTAGAAATATAGCCTCAATATAGTTTCTGTTGCGTACTCATGCTCTGGCCTTCGCTAATTCCAAATGCTTGGACTTTTTTGCTTGTGCCCTGACATAGTAAGTAGATAGAACTCTTGCAACAGTGAATATATCCTGCTTCCTTCAGAACTTAACTGTGGTCAAAGGGAGGAAATCCCACAGGCTAGGGTGAAGATATTTCAAATTATTGCACGTAATAGGTGTTCTTTGAAGAATATGCTTATGCCTTTTTTCTGTTTTTTAGATTTAGATGTACTCAGACGTTTTTCTTTTTAATTTGGGATAACAGGGAACATTGTCCAATAAGAGAACCCCCAGTTACATTGGTGAAGTTATATGCACTGATCTAGAACTCGGAAATCTTCCACCATATATTGATGGTATTAGGGTTCTTCCTACAGACATGAACGAAGTATGGGCATGGGAATTTGACATCGAATATTGTGGTGGGGTGGTGCCAGGTATTGAAACAAGACTGGAAGTTCGTGACCTAGATATGGAGAAAGGTGTGTTGAATACAGACTCAGGATCCAGCTCTATTAGGGATGTTTCTTCAGATCTTCTGGAAGGTTTTGAACATCTTGGAGAGCAGTCGAATCTTTCTGAAGGGACTGTCAATTCACATGAATGGAAGGATGAGGGTAATACTAAGCCTGGTAAGTAATTCTTTACTGATTTATGTTTTGCATGCTTGTTTTCTAGCTAATGCTTTCGAATGCTATAAACTCTGATGCACAGAGATAAAAGCCTTACATGATTGTAAAGTTGCAATCAAACTTTCGTAGTGATTCCGCTATAGGATTTCATGCCTTTTGAAGAGTCTGATGAGTTTCTTTGGCTGTCATACGTGAGAAACAAAATACTGGAATGCTGCTAACTGATTTTCAACTTTATAGTTAATTCAGACCATATTTGTGTTGATATTATTTGAAAGGATAATGGTATGCATGCACTTGGATGGATGCATTCACTCATGCAAACAAGATAACATCAGAGGATTTCAATGTAAACCAATTCTAGGATCCTGCTCTTTCTTACCTGGAAAGCCATAAATGAGGTCAACCTTTCTCAAGGGATGTGCTTGTTTCACATTTCTCTGTTCATGCAGGAAATGAATTGGTGTCTTTCCATTAATGAACATTGCATATAATCCTCTAAAGAATTGTGGCTTCGTAGACAGAAACAAAACTACGAGGATGAGATGGTTATCTGCTTATCCTAGTCAAGATAGGTGCATGACATGCATGGCCATTGAATTATCCTGGTCCATGCAATATCATCTTGAATTAGGAATCAAGGAGGAGGTAGACCTGTGTCAAGATGATAAAGATGTACCATTCCTTTATTCCACTTATTGCTACGGGATTCTTTATTCCACTTATTGTAACAGTGTTAATGATTAATGCATTTATGCGTTGTTGGTTTGGACATTAGGAATTGTTAATTAACCCATGTAATGAAAATTCACAATAAACAATACCAATTGACTCTCTTCTTTTCTTGCTACAGATAAATTAAAGGACTCTAAAAGTGGTGCAGCAACATCAACCGATTTATCTAGGTGGAAGTCCATTCTTAATTCTGTCGCGAAACAGGTTCTGCAGGTTTG